AATAGTTGTACCCAAAAGTGAAATAAAATAGCCTTTAGTGATACCAAAATTCTAACCATCAACTACATATTTCTCTAATTAACAATAAACAACCCAACGACAATTAAGAAGTCTGGAATTCGAATTTAAGGGCAATTAATATACCTAAATTCCTTCTTGATGAGTTTAAATCTAGTGACTATAATAAACGAGCAGGAACGGAGATTTCTGCGCGCGGCTTGAACAACTTCAACTTCGAAACTGTGTATAAGCGTGAATGAATTAGGGATTTAGTCACAAACCAATTAAACATACCAAAGAATCAAATGAAGCAAATAATCAACTAAGTAACAAAGATAGCAGCACTAAGTCTCAAAAATAATAAAAAGGATCAAAGCATTTGAATACGCTACTGTAGATTAAGAAACCAAAGCCCTAGCCACTAAGAAACTGAAAACCTTGAAATTTGAGAAAACTTAATGAAAAGAATTGATTCAAAGTAGAAGCAAAGGGATTAATGTAAGCGTTGGATTCAAAATCGGAGAAACCAGGATCGATTGAACTAGCGGAGAAATTTTGAGAACTAACCAATATGAGTAGGAAAGCTTGGGAGGAGAAATTTAGATGATGAATAGTAAGATCACTCGTCAAGTAACTTGAAGTTTTATGGATGGTGGGGAAGGGAAAGATCAGTCTTGTTTGTGGCTTTTGGTTTAGACGTAGTTGGGTCGGTGACTGGTAAAAAAAAGTTTTTAGTGTGAATTGTCAAGGAATTAAAAAAGGAGTAGGTTTTGAGATGTGAAAATTGGGATTTTGCGGTATGGAGGGCAACAGAGGTTTTTTCTTTTTGATGAATCAAAATATTTTATTAAAAAAGAGAGTACAAGGGAGGGCAATAGAGGTTAAGATTAAGAAGAAGAAACAAAGTCTAAGGTGGAGAAAAAAACGGAAAGGGAAAGCTGGAAGCGATAAAAGGTCAGAGCACGGTGGCTTAGCAAACTCCAGTCCAAAAGCTTAGAAAGAAATTTAAAAATATATATATATTTTTGGGAAGCTTTAAACGGTAGCCAATCTACCACTGTAAAAGTGAGATTGACGTGTTAAAATTGTGAGGCGAGTGCCACTTAGGGAGTACAGCGTTTTAATTTAAAACGTTATAAATGGAAAACTAAAAGTCCAGCGTTTTATAAAAATATTATTATTAATTTATTAAATACAGCGTTTATATAAAACGCTAAAGTGGACGAGGACACTGAAAAAACCCACCCAACCAATATCAGCGTTTCTATAAAACGTTGGTTAGAAAACGCAATCTTTAGAGAACTTTTTTTAGTGAAATCACATAATCTCTAGTATGATTTCTCAGAGGTTTTGACTCATAAATATTTTTTTAAAATTTTCGATTGGGATGGCAGATTGTTAAGTTCTAGGCAAAAAAAAGTTTAAAAATGTCTTTAGAATTACTTTATTAATGTGTTGAAATAATTCCACTAAGTATTCATACTCTTTTATTCTTATAGATTGATTTCAAAATCACTTTTCTGTTCTTTATTACAGAAGTTGAAATCGTATGCTTAGTTACACACATCCTTTTTAGAACGTTTTCAAACACAACTCACTATACTTCTCGGCTACCAAGCCTGTCAGAATTTTGTGTTAGAGAAATAGGAGGTTAGAAAATAGATTATTAGATCATTGGTTTCAAGACGTACTGCAAATATTAATTTTTTTTAGGTTAATTTCGCTCTCATTAGATTTTGTATGCAAAAGGGTAACTCAAAATACTTATAAGATATAATGAAGCACTTTTATGATCTAAATTTTGCACTAGCAAGATCAACCACTGAACCATCCTTTGTAAAGCGATAAAGCAACAGTTTTTGTATAAGCATTTTTCAGTAATCGCAATACAAAAAGAGGTTATTTAATTTAGATATTTCTGAGTTCAAAAAGACTCCCAAAAGAAGAAGGGATAACTCCATATTTATAAGGCAAGATGTCTGTTGGAATAGACATTTCTTTTCAAGATGTCTGTTGAGAATGGACACTTTTTTTCAATTTTTATCCGTTGAAAATTCTTTCAAAAGTCATTTGATTTGATTTGAATTCTAACTGACGTATTTTCTTGCCTTTCAAAGGTATCCATTCTCTTTATATCTCTTATTCGTAATGTAAATAGTTCAAACCAGATAAATGTGGTTCAAATCAAAATCGTAACTTTTCAAATTTTGATTTTACATAAATGGCTCGAATCATAATTATATGATTCAAATCAAAGTTATAGTTTCTTAAATGCATTCTGTGTAATTGTTTCGAACAAATTTTTTGTGATTCAAACCTAAATCTTGAAAATATTTTAAAAATTCTT